GTCTGCGGACAGATCCGTAGCGGTGCGCACTGAGGCCCTGGTGGTGACGGATTCCCGCGCACCTTACCACCTGAGAAATGTCTGTTAGCTCCATTATTTTTTAAAAAAAATATTTTTATTGATTTCGGAGTGGAAGGAGGAGGGAGAGAGAGATAGAAACATCAATGAGAGAGAATCATTGATTGGCTGCCTCCTGCACGACCCCCACTGGGGATCGAGCCCGCCACCTGGGCATGTGCCCTTGACTGGAATCGAACCTGGGACCCTTCAGTTCGCAGGGGTATGCTCTATCCACCGAGCCAAACCGGGTAGGGCTGTTAGCTCCATTATTATCTGAAGATGGGAGGACTGCTCTGGCCGGTGTGTGGCTTGGGCTGCGGGCTCATCCCCGGTGGGGGTCGTGCAGGAGGCAGCCCGTGGAGGTTCCGTTCTCACATGTTTCTCCCTTTTATATATAAATATATAAATAAATATATATAAATATAAATATATATATACACACACACACATCCCTCTTTCTCTAAAAAAAATCAATAAAAATTTTAAAAAGCTTTTTAAAAAAAGATAGGAAAATTGCCTAATTGGTTTAACTCACCCCACCCCCATTTCTAGCACATAATAGTTCAACAAATACTTCTTTAGTGTTTAGTACAAAAAGCAAAGGTGATTCTTTTGCATTAAAATGACACCGAGGTATTTTGTTTTTCAATGTTTTTCAGGTTGTTTTACAGATTGACCGATGACTTGGCAAATTTAACGCCATGGGCCCTGCATTTTTTTGTTGTTGTTAATCCTCACTGGAGGATATTTTTTCCATTGATTTTTAGAGAGTGAAAGTGAGGAAGGTGGTGGGGTGGGGAGAGAAAGACAGAGAAACATCGATATGTGGGTTGCCTGCATGCGCCCCAACCAGGGTAAGATCTGAACCTGCAACCCAGATAGGTGCCCTTGAGGGAGATGATACTGTGACCCTGCGGTGTGCAGGCCAACACTTGTAACTATTGAGCCACAGTGGCCAGGGCAGGGCTCTGCATTTTTTATTTTGATATATTTCATTGATTTCAGAGAGAGGAAGGAAGAGGGGAGAGGGAGATAGAAATAGAAACATCAGTGATGCAAGAGAATCATTAATCGGCTGCCTCCTGGGCAACCCCTACTGGGGATTGAGCCTGCAACCTGGACATGTGCCCTGATTGGGAATCCAACTGTAATTGCCCGGTTCATAGGTGAATGTTCAACCACTGAGCCACACTGGGTGGGCTTAAAAGTAATATGTCTGGGATTCCTATGCATAGTTTACTATCTAATCTAAAAGGAGTAAAGTCACAAAACTATGAAAAGGAAGTTGAAGTGTTTAAATGAGTAAAAGGCATATTTGGGAAGCAAAAACCAAATTCTGGCCAAGCTGGTGTGGCTCAGTTGGTTGATCGAACTTCCATGCACAAGGAAGTCACTGGTTCAATTCCTGGACAGGGAACCTGCCTGGGTTTCAGGCTGGATCCCCGGTGGGGGGTGTGCAGAAGGCAGCCAAAGGATTTTTCTCTCTCATCAATGTTTCTGTCTCTCTCTCCCTCTCCCTCCTCTCTCTGAAATAAAAAAACATTAAAAAAAGAGTGAAAACAAATTCTGTTTTAACTACTAGTAACAATTAGTGTGTATATCATTTTCAAGCATTCTGACAAGAACTGAAAAGATTGCAAATCTTCTAAAGGTGAGAATGAAGGGCTTTGGTAATTTTTTAGAAGGATGCCTTAGAACTAAGTTCTGCATTAGCTCTATAAAGAAGAATTTATGCCTTTAAAATTGGAAATTCCATATGGACCTTTAGAAAAGTAGGGACTGAATTGGTTTCTCATTTTTGAAGATCAGTTCTGCTTCAAAATGGTCCAGCTGAATTCTTAAATAATTTTTTCTTTAAAGAGCACATGGTGGGTGGCGTTGATGTGTTTTGTGGAATTGATTTATTTCCTTTCTCTCCCAGAAAACACTAGTTGGGGACAGTGCAGTGAGGCCCTTCCAGGGCACTGCAGCAGCCTATGCACCAGTGTCACATTATCGGACTGTTAAAGGTGTAGACTCAAGTGAAGAGAGCTTTTCTGATTCAGATGATGATACCTCTCTTTGGAAACGCAAGCGACAGAAGTGTTTCAACCCCCCTCCCAAACTAGAGCCTTTTGCATTCGGCCAGGGCAGCCAGAAGCCGCCTTTTGCTGGAGGGAAGAAGGTTAACAACATCTGGGGTGCTGTGCTGCAGGAGCAGAATCAAGATTCGGTGGCCAACGAACTTGGTATCTTGGAAATGGAAGGCACTATTGACAAAAGCAGACAATGCGAGGCCTACAATTATTTGCTTGCTAAGAAACTTAGGAGGGAGTCTCAAGAACAGACAACAGAATTAGACAAAGAGCTAGATGAATATATGCAAGATGGCAAGAAAACAGGCTCAAAGGAAGAGGAAAAACGGGCAAGGTCATCTCAAACGGAAACGACCTGTCAAAGACCGACTAGGGGACAGACTGGAAATGAACTATAAAGGCCGGTATGAGATCACAGAGGAGGATTCTCAGGAGAGAGTGGCTGATGAAATTACTTTCAGGTGAGCATTTAAAATTTTCATACAAATGAGCTCTTGACCAACTATCTTCCATTTATAGGAAATAAAATAGATTCCAAATACATTACTGATAATGCTCCCTTTTAAGATTTTTTTTTTTTTAATTTAAGGAACGAACTCTGGGCTTATTTGGTTGTTTGAATGTATTTGTCTTTTATTAAATTTGGACAGATTGATAGAATAATTTTGCAAACTTTTATGAACTCATAAGCAACTCTTTCCATTTAGTGCTCAAGAGCTCTTTAGATTAAAAAAATTACCTTTATAAATCATGTGGGGGGCGGTTTGAGTGTTTTCAAGCATTCATGACTTGTTATATGATTCAGGCATATTGTACATAGAGTAAAAACGTACCCATTTCAATCATGTGTTGATATTTTTGTAACTTTATCAGTTGTACAACTCTCACCATAAACCACTTTCATAACATTTCTATCACTCCAATAAGATCCCCCTCATATCCATACGCCCATTTAAAGGTAAACCCTGTTCCCATCTCCAGATAACTGCTATTCTACTTTCTGTAGTTATAAATTTGCATTTTATGGACATTTCATATTAATAGAATTATATAATGTGTGAGCTCTTGTGCCTGGCTTTTTACTTAGTGTAATGTTTTATTTATTACACATACACATACACACACACATATACACATATCTGTATTGAATGGCTATTCCACCTTTTGGCTACTCTGAATAAGGTTATGAACTTTCACATTCAGGTCTTTGGACATGATTTTCATTTCTCTTGGATAAATTCCTCGGAGTAGAATTGCTTGATGTAAATTAACATTGCATGTATTTTTAACAAGTTCAAATTTTGTTTAACTTTTCATAAGTTGTAAATCACTAATGAACAATGTCACAAATTTGAAAACAAATATGGTTCAAGAGTAATAGAGCTAGCGGGAAAACAAGCATTTACTTTCCAGGCAAGCCTGTCAATACTGGATTTTTAAACTACTGAGGAATTTGGAATTTGAGTGCTGGAAAGGAACTTAGATTTTGTAAACCAAAGTTTTCACTTTGTAGAATATGGAAACTGAAGCCCAATAGTTGCGTGGCTTGCCTGAAGTCACAAATTTTATGTGTCAGACCCGGAATTAAACTCTGGTCCCTTTTTCCTAGTCTAGTGCTCTTTGCCTCCTATTGAGAAGAAACAGGAAGCCAGGCCTAGTTAGGGAACTGGCAGACTTCTGAATATTTTTTTTTTCATCTCTAGAGTGTGGGCTCTGACATTACAAGTGTTACCTAGGCTCCTGGTGGTGTTGTTTTTTTTTTGTTTTAAATGTGCCTCCTGCACATCTACTGGGGATGTGCCCGCAACCAAGGTACATGCCCTTGACCGGAATCGAACCTGGGACCTTTCAGTCCGTAGGCCGACGCTCTATCCACTGAGCCAAACCGGTTTCGGCCAGACTTCTGAATATTAATCCTCCTTCATCTCTAGAGTGTGGGCTCTGACATTACAAGTGTTACCTAGGCTCCTGGTGGTGTTGTTTTTTTTGTTTTAAATGTATTTTTATTGATTGCAGAGAGGGAGAGAGAGATAGAAACATCAATGATGAGAATCATTGATCGGCTGCCTCCTGCACGCCCCCTACCGCGGATTGAGTCCGTAACCTGGGCATATGCCCTTGACCAGAGTCGAACCTGGGACCCTTCAGTCCACAGTCCGATGCTCTATCCACTGAGCCAAACCAGCTAGGGCGTTCCTGGTGTTTTTAATTCTGTTTTTAACCTCTTTCTTAAGGTTGTTGAGAGAATTAACTGAGATAATGCATATAAAGTTCTTAGGATTGGGCTTATCCTATAAGTCATCATTGAATATTAGCCATACCTTTTGTTCTGAAGTGGGGAGTTTTTGAGGGGAAAATCCTATCCAGATATCTCTAAAGTTAGGAGCGCTAACTTTCAATCTTAATAATTGAAAGCTAGTATATGTTATTTGTTTTGACAGGAGTGGACTGGTTTTATCTTTTGCTTTTAGGCTTGCATTCCCCTCAGTGTAGGTGCACATTTACTTTTAAAATAAATATGTTTTTGTTAATTTGGGAGAGAGGAAGGGAGAGAGAGAGAAACAATGTGAAAAAAATAGGGAGCGCTTCACGAATGTGTGTGTCATCCTTGCGCAGAAGCCATGCTAATCTCTATCTTCCCAATTTTAGTATATGTGCTGCTTAAGCAAGCACTGTGCACATTTACTTTGAAATCCACCATAATCCAATAAAGTAAAGTGAAGAGGCCAGTTATGAGACTTAAGATGAAATCTTGAGGTTACTACTCCTTGGGTGACCCATGATAGGAATGTCTCCATGTCATCGATTTCAAAGTTAAATATTTGAAGATTTTGAAAAACAAATGTTATTAGAATAGACTTAAATTCTAGTTGAGGACTGAATGAGACTAAGGTAGATTTCTTTAACTTTATACAACAAATAAAGAGGTTAATATTACTTTATTTGTTCCTTCTCAGGTTGCAGGAACCAAAGAAAGATCTGATAGCCCGAGTAGTGAGTATTATTGGGAACAAAAAGGCAATTGAACTTCTGATGGAAACTGCTGAAGTAGAACAGAATGGTGGCCTTTTTATAATGGTAAGACTAAGAGCTTCATTGTTTTCATTTTTAATTGTGCTTAATATGACTTTTTTACCAAATAAAATTGTCTGTTGGATCATAAGTTATTGGTTTGAGATTTTAAAAAAAACTTTGTTAACAATGAAAACTGAATAAAAAAGTAAGTATTAGTCAGTTTTAATACTTAGAAAAAACATAACATAAATTGTAGCCTGTTAGTGTGCAGACAACATACAAACCCTGAAGCTCAAATTTTAAGAATATGGGTTTTGGAATTAAGGGGTTCATTGTTTTGAGTTCGGGTCTGCACTTACTAGGTATGATATTTGGCTGAGTTGTTTGACTTCTCAGAGCCTCAGTGTCCTCAGCTGTAAGATGGCGATGAATGTGAGGATGAAATGAGATGATACACATGAGGCGCTTATCACCGTGCCCAGTACTTACTTAGCAGTGGATGAACAGAAGTGTTATTTTTGGTTTAATTCATGCATTCTTCAAAATTGGTTCTTGGGGACAAAAGGGAAAAAACCTTGTTATGTAAAAAGCACATCGTATATCTGTGAGTATTAAAATTTCATGGGTGGTGGGGGTGAATAGGGAAGTGTCTAAAGGCTCCTTGCAGTGGGGCAAACAATAATGGAAAAAACAGCTGAGAACACTTTACTGTTTCAGAATGGCAGCAAGAGCACTCCTGGCAGGGGCCAGATCCCAGGCAGCGCCAGTTTGTCCCATAGAATGATTTTGCAGATCTCACTTGAGTGAGGATGACGTTTGAATGGCTTCCTTATTTACTCCTCGGAAATCTGAATAATAACATCACAAGAGAGTAAATCAATATTATGCTGTGGAAACCAATTAGAATTGATAGCACTGGCTGAGGAAACAGACTGTGAACATAGATTACTGAAGTAAAAACTAAAACAAATTATAATAGACTGTACTGGCCCTTCTTTTGTGTCATTGTTAAAGTACTTTGATTTTCATTTAGTTGCGCACAAAGTTATAGGTTCACCAATGTTTTAATTCTATAGTAATGTAATAAAACTATATTCCAGCGAGCTAATGCAAATCTTGGGAAGATAGAAGTCCAAATTCACTTTCTTTTGATGCATTCTTTCCTTTTCTCACTGTCTGCCAGGCACTGTATTAGACACAGGAAGCTTATATTGTAGTGGGGGGGGAGGGTGGAGGAAGACAGTCTATGAAGAGTAAATAGAATATCTTTAAGTATATTAGACGGGGATAAGTGCTATGGGAAAAGAACGATCAAAGGTAGGTACAGAGAGGCAAGGGAGGACATTGCAGTTAAACTGGGAGGGGGCAGGGGGAGACCTCAGTATCTCCTTAGGCCAGCGGGTCTCAACCTGTGGGGCGGGGCCGCCTTTGGGGGGGGGAAGAACCCTTTCCACAGGGGGGCGCCTAAAACCATCGGGAAAAAACAAATATAATTACATATTGGTTTTGGTGATTAATCCACTATGCTTTAATTTAAGTTCATTTGGTAACAAATGAAAAAAACATCCCTGGCTATCGGAAATTTACATTACCATTCCATCCCCGGAGGCAAAATTACAGTTATTGAAGGAGGGAAGGAAAAAAATTTT